AATACAGAGCACATCGCAACGTAAAAATCAATAGAAAGTATAACAAATCGAAGAAATGAAATATTAAACGAAACTCACTGTTGGCACTTTATAGGAACAGGTGGTAAAAAAGGCAAAATACTTTTACAACGGAACTTTGCTTGTTTGTTAGAACGGTTATAAATTAAAGACAGTTATACTAGTAATATAGGAAGAAAAATGTTTGCAAGACATTCCATTCAGAACAGCCTGTCGACAACAACGGAAAAAAAGAAAGAAAACGGACAGCGGTAACCGACCGTGTATCATTTTACAACATGAATGAAGAATAGCTTTTGTTGACGCGTGAACCGACTGCATATTTAACTTCTGCTCACCACCAATGTTAATAAAGTAAAATGCTGTTGACAGAAAACGTTCAGAAGTAACAGATGAATCCATGTCACTAAGTTCATCAAGCGGAACATGTAACGTGTGTAACAAACATCACTCCTTGACTGGACTTGATCATCAAAATCTAAGACGTCTTATTGCTCAAGATATCACTGAACTAGAACAAAACTGAAAACGCGACGACAACTCGGCAAACAGAGACAACACACAGCTCAGATACGTCAGAGCGTGATCTAAACCGCTCATATTATTATCTTACTACTGTTAGGTATTACTACTCTTATGAAACAACTCATCACTGGTATGCACGTACTACAGGACGCACTAATGACTAAAATTTTGCACGAGGTCAACTATAGACTACACAAAACCTTTCAAGTACAAGTACCGTAAAATAAAAACTGTATCAAACACAAAATACACAAAATTTCCACTGAATCGTATAAAACTTACAAAAATAAAAATTCGATGTAAAAATCCTTAACGAAAACATCACCAACTGAGTAAGACTTCCAATGTGATATAAAATTTTAGTGGAAAACAATTTACATGAAGATTTTCTATTCGTTTACTGATAGCCGTTGTACGCAGCGGTCAGTAAAGGAGCAGCCTTAAAATATTGGCGACAGTGATTAACGTCGTGTACGTGTGCACAGGCTACCTTCATGTGCAGCTGGTGTAGCGGCTGTGGGCTTCCTGGCTGCAGGTAAGTAGTCATGTCAGGTGCGCCTCCGCCCTGGTATATGTCCAACGACTGTGAAGACGCTGCTGCATTATTAGCACCATGGAAGGCCCTGGTTCCACCAGGGGAAGTAGACGACATGTAGCCTGTAGGATAGCCGTTCAACACTAAAAATGACGAACGTAATTACAAGATACAAGCCACTAAACAAGCTCAGTTGATTCAAAACAAATGTTAGAGTATCATTAAGTGATGAAGATTATGAGTGCGGTGAGTCTGTCATTACCATACCGTTTATAAGTACGGACAATGAAAGACATAATCAACAACACTGCAGAACTTCGAATTAACTTTTAGAATTAATTCAATTAGAACACGATCATCATTTATTGCCTGAGTAATTAGTAGAAAACAGCATGACATACGGTTTGTTAATGCACTGCAAAAATAATAATACGTTTAATCAGACGACTGAACACTACTGACATTTCTCTCCGTGTTTCACGAATCTTTTTCAAGATAGTAGGTTGGTAGAGTTCAGAATCTTTTGTTTGTAGCGGTTGATAGGATGAGAGCCACAAAGCAAGCCTTCTGTTCATGCTGCTAGTTAAATAATTTGTGGCAATAAGGTCCACCCATTCCAATCCGTACAGAGTTCATATTCTCTGTCACAGCTTGCCACATTATCTTTTGCGTTGTGGATTATCAAATCGTTTTTATGCTGTTTCCCAGTATGATCACCACGCACGACATACTCTATCAGTAATTAAAGTGAGCAATTCTCTGTGGCAGTACTGGTGTAGACAGATTAAATACAATTGGTTTTAAAGTGAAAAGTGATACAGTCCATAAGTTAGTTTAATAATACAGCACAATAGCATAATATACTATTATAACCGCATGCTGCAGTAATACATCATATATTCTGTCAAAACTAATACTAATTATCTACTTTCTTTGCGGAATAGAATCAGTTTATTTGGATTCGACGATTATAAGCACAATGGGAGATCGATGATTTACGGTAACAAACTAATACTAACTTCTCGAACAAGTAATGTTAACTGCCATCGAAATGAAATATCGAATTTTACGAACTAATTTTGAGGAAGAAGGCGTATAAGATCGTGTTCATCTTTCGACAGGGCATACTACATTATGTGACATGTACATCACCGTAATGCATAGTAGCTTATCTAAGCAATGTTCGCTTTGGCAACCGCTAATTTAATTTGTCTGAGAAGTTGACAATGAACTAAACACCTAAGTCATCGGTCTGTTCTGCATATATCCATTGAATTCTAACAAACTCCTTACATTTAGAAAAGTGATACATAAAATTAGCATTAATTTTGACTGGGTTTAGTACATTACCATAGTAATCTTCAGCGCGAATAGAAATACGATTCCTGTAACATACATGCTATTGTGCTAGATTCCTGGCGTAAAATTTCGCTATATGCCATTTATGGTATTGACGTATCGATAATTATACCGGCTCGGTCGTCGCCCGGGTTACCAAGGGCTGAGCAGACTGTTGGGGGACTGAGGCAGACGCGAAAAGTCAGCGATCAGAACCTGCTCATCGCCCTCTGCCAGCCGGGGGCGTAGCAGCACAACAACGGTCGAAGACCGACGTAAAGACAACGAAGATACCAGTCAGCAGCGGAGTCGCCAACTGATTTGAACGGAGAAGGCAGATAGCGCGATGCCATTATAGCAAGACAGAAAAGGGTCCACGACAGCCATACCGCCAGTGGGAGCTAATAGTCAGATATTAGAATATATCATCACTCAGAGGAAAAGAGCAACAGTTACTTGATGAGGCTATAAAGCAGCAACTCAACTGTTAGACTCTCGTCAACGAAACGCCAAGGCTCTGGAATCCTGAACCTCAGCGGGAAGAAGCTATTTTATTCAGGTGTCGATATCATGACGCGCGGTTAGGCCGGTGTGGCGTTGGGTTGGTGGTACAGCCCAACTTCACAGATAGAATCACTGATTGTATATGTGAAGCCAGTCAGTGGAAGGATGGTAATCCTCAGACTGAAGCTACAACAGGCTGAAGCAGGTCCATACACACAATTTAAAGGAAGAATATGATTCCTTCCTTGAGGAAATGCCGAATACACAGACCCTCATACTGAAGATGATTTTAATGCGCATGTCGGAGCAGAAGCCAAAAACTGGAATGGCGTGACTGGAAAGAACGGTCCTTGTGACCTCAACAATAACGGCATGAACTTGTTGCGATGCTGCGGATATAAACGTGTTGGCCTGCCGCCTGGAGGCCAGGAAAGGTCTTCATTATGGACACGAAAGGTACAACTGGCAGTTAAAGAGAAGAAAGATGCGTTCAAGAAATGGCTTAGAAACAAGGAGCCATCTACATGCGTGCGATATGTCGAGGGATGCAAGGCGGCAGCCAATAGCAGTGGCAAAAGCAAAAGCTGATTCCTGGGAGAAGTTCGGTGAGGTGTTGGAGTCGAATTTCCATATGGCAAACCAATTATTCTGGCAGACCATCCGCCGGCTTCAAGGTGAAAAGACGGGCAGTCTCAGAGTCGTGAAGGACAGATCTGGACACCCTCTCACCAAGGATGATGACATTCTTCGGCGATGGCGGGAGTACTTTGA